AAACCGTCTTGGTAGACTTTTGAAAGGTTTACTTTTATTAGTTACAGGAAGTAATGCACCTTATGACTGGTTTAACAGGGGATCAATGAAAACCTACGTAATTTCATGATTTTTTTTGTGCAAAGTCGTTTGTGACCTGAAGTGAAAATAAGATGTCGGTCAAGGTTGTTTAGTCAAAGGCGCATCCACAAAGTAGTGTAGAGTTTTTGTGTCATATAGCTAGCTTACTGGGGTAAGAACCTGTCCTACTACTAGGCCCGTTCACAAAGTGGCGGATAGGCCTCTAGATATAGAGCTTAGCCATGTATATATTTGAATAAGTGGCCGTAGATCAAAACAGGTGATGGTCATTGAGAGGAGGCGAGTTAGTTGGTGGGACAGCTAACTCTATAAAATACCTAAACACTCTACGACATGGCCATCAGCGGGTAAGAGGCAACAAAACCTCTCCCGCCTGCTGCCTTGCAGGGTAAGTCTCTTTAGACAAAGGCTATTGGAGTCAAACCATATACAAACCGGCAGAAGACAAGGGAAAAACACCGCTGTATTATCCCTAGAGAATCATTCCTCGAAACATAACGAATTCAGATAACAACGTGAATGGGGATTCAGTGGAATCACCTTGTCCGGTAGGGAGCATCATATTCTACGGGTGATACCCGACCATCATCCGGCTACTGTAAAAAAAGTAAATGGTAGAAACATCCTGAACATTGGTACATGGAATGTCAGAACACTCGTACAAAATTGTTGACATCCTCACTTCCTCTATTTCCCATTTCAATGCCTGCTTGCTGATTCTCTGCTCGTTTCTTTTTAGGATGCGTGAGTTATGAGTTATCTTCATAGGACTCGGGACACATCCATACGCGCTCAGATTCCCCTCTCAACATATTCATGACTCAAATTAGCTTATTCAAATACGCTTGAACAGGGTTTCATGAATCTGTAGCGGTTTGATTCTCATCACTGAGATGTTATTCATAAAGATTGGAGGAGGCTTGGGGGATTAAAAAAAGCACACAAAAAAAATATATTTAGTACATGTAAAAAATGATCATAAATATCCTTTTTCAGATCTCAGGATTTCATAACAAGGCATGACCAGTCATACAAGAATGCTCATATCATGCATATAATGTTATGAAGCAACTGGCTGAAAAACCAGACCATATTTATTTAAGCTGATTTCACTGTATAAGCAACATTACTGACTTTCAATAGTCACAATAGCAGAAACAATTTGTAAAGATAGTTTAACACTGAGTTGAATATTCAACTCAGTTTTGATAACAAATCACTTGCCAGGGAAGGCTAAATCACTAATCTGTGTCCTAAGACAGGGCATGGCCCACTGGGCAAAACCATACTTGATCTGCTTCCCCACAGTGCACATGTGATATATATGGAAACTAAACTGCTGAACCTGTTCTGCACAGGGAGCTAAAGAAGATATGCTGGTCAACTAAACCACCACTAAACTCATCAACTGCTGAACCTGTTCTGCACAGTGACCTTAAGAAGATATGCTGGTCAACTAAATCACCACTAAACTCCTCATCAACTGCTGGTCAAGGGAGCTAAAGAAGATCACCACCCCTAAACTCCTCATCAACTGCTGAACCTGTTCTGCACAGTCCACTAAAACCACTAACATCAACTGCTGAACCTGTTCTGCACAGGGAGCTAAAGAAGATATGCTGGTCAACTAAATCATGCTGCTGAACCTGTTCTGCACAGTGAGCTACGGAAGATATGTGGTCATTAAACTCTAAATGAAACACAAATAACAGCAGCAGGCCAGTTCATGCTGAGAACCAGCCTGGTGGTGTATTTCTAAATGACAATAATCACAGAAAGAAGAAGTTGTGACTTCCGGAAGGAAATCTGATGAGTAAGGCTAGTCACCTGACACCATTCAGCACAGACATACTATATGTGGTTTTTAACATCTCAGAAATGAAAATGGCAAGACCAAAAGGCAGACGGAGACCTAAAAATATGGACTGAAGAGGTAAGTGAGAGCTGGACCCTTTCACCCCAGTAACAATAAACAAAACTGGGACATGACCCCATGATAATTCTCAAACAAACACAAGTTTTACACAGGTAATTTATAATTTGTTGAAATGTATTTATGTATATTTTAAAATATTTGTTCCAAAAATATAAAGTTGTATAAGAAGTAATCAATAAACTTAAACAGGGTGAGGGATTGAAAAGGTAAAGATAAAGTCGGGAAATGTGAACCAACGTCATTGCACAAGGTTATAAACCATAAGTGCTCTGCCACCAGTTCGGACAGCTGATAAGAAACTGTCTGTCTGTGTCGCCATTTGCACGCAACTCCGTAGCTACAACAATGTTTCCCCATTTACCCCAGAGTGTCAACTCTGGTACTCATTTCCTAGAGGCTGGGTGAACTCTGGGCACCAGTAAGGGATTAAAAAAAGGTAAAGGTAAGAGAAAAAAGAATATATTCCACTGGGCCATGACACAGGTCAATAATAATTTTTTTTTTAATGTATTTATTTAGTTTTAATTATTTGTTCAAAAAATATAAAGATGTATAAATGAAATAATCAATAAACATAGACAAGATAAAGGATTAAATAGAATAAACTCTCTTGGGCCTAAAAAATGTATGTATTGTGTGACTCATGTCATGACCCCATAACCTCTATTACTGAGGGTGCCTTGCCGACTGGCGTGGGTGATCATGCCTCTCCATAATCTGTGATCTCCAGCAGCATGTATCAGTTCGTGTGCCGACACACCTCCATGCCATGCAACAAGACTGTCAAGCATCTTCTCTCGTTGTCTTCCTCTATCTCTCCTTCCACATATCTTTTCAGTGGTCACAACATGTTCTATTTTCCCTCTTCTCATAACATGGCTGAAAAATGATGACTGTCTCCTTCTGATGTCTGTGATAAGTTGTCTTCGGGCTCCCGCCTCTTTCAAAACCTCTTGGTTGCTCTTTTTGGCTGTCCAAGGTATTCTAAGCATTCTTCTGTAAAACCACATCTCTGAGGCCTCCAGAAGTTGTTTGGCCTGCCTACCAATTATCCAGGATTCACAGCCATATGTTAAAACTGGATGTATGTAGCAAGCAAGAATTCTTTTTTTCTCAATGACAAGGATATATTGCACAAGATGTTTTTCATTTGTATAAAATGCAGTTTTTGCCTGTCCTATTCTGTTTCTTATTTCAGTTATGAATCTGATGTTATCCATGTGCCCAGATACTTAAATTTCTGTACTTGTCCTAAAATAACACTATCAACTTTTACTACACACTTAGGAATAATTCGATCCTTTGACACCACCATTACTTGTCTTCCCATTATTCAAACTGAGGCCCATTCTTCCACTTTCTAACACCACAATGTCTATCATTTCCTGTAGTTCTTTTTGACTTGTTGCTATCAAGACTGTGTCATCAGCATAATGTGCCCACCAACCACAATTCCGGGCATACCAATTAAAGCTCTCATTATATATTCACTGTAATATATTCACTAATTTGACGTCAACTTCCTTTTTAAAAAAAACATTTGGTTTTAAGGAAAACCCTCCTAAATGCAATTGTTACTTAATATCTTCACATCCTGACCTCCTAAACATTTGCACAGGTGTAAACACAGCCAATAGCATTAACTTTACATCTTGTAAACAAGGCTGAAACGTGACATTTATGGGAAACTGGCCCCAGCGGGAAGTCTCAGTTTCACAGCTTCTCAGGGTGACAGGGTTAAGATTCCATAATATCACAGCATACCAAGCAATCGAGCATGCCCCGGCTTTGCTACCTATCACCGGTAAACTCTTATGTCTAGCAGCATAAAACATAAACTGACACGAAACGAAAAATATCAGTATTTGAGAATCTTACAGTATAATTTTATACACAGCATCTGGTACACCTCTGTACTTGCCACAGTTCTTCTTATAAGATCACATCACACAAGTACAAAACTCACAGTATGAAAATAATTGTTACCAAAGTCTACAATTTGTAAAACAATATCAGATCTGAAAATTGCAACATACATTACATTGACCAAGCTGAAACAATAAACAAAGCAACATCAATCTCTGGAGCTCCAAAGATATGCACATGTTTAAATGAGTCTGGGATTAAACGGTGACACAGAAATACAATTTTTACTCACGCTTTTGACAGTTGTAAAGTATAAGTAAAGGACCCCTTTCCACAGGTTCAGGCGTATTGGGCATATAGGGTTAGACCTATATTTTATAGACCAATCAGCCTTGGTGGGTGATATGATCAACATCACGCAGCCTGCCTTTACTTCCCAGGATCATACCCGGTACCATTTATGGCTGGGTCTACCTGGGAACCAATTTTGAAAATAGTCTGGCTTCGTCAGGATCTGAACCTAAACCACAGGCAAGCGTCTAGCTGTTACACCACGGCGACCCTCTTTATACTGTTGATGGTAACATCATTTGTTTGTTTGTTCTTGAAGGTGTAAAAATAAGTGAACATTAATTCTTCATGTCCCAATCAATGCACTGTGTGAGACTGCATGTTATGCATGCACACTTATCAACGCATTACAATTGCTTTTATATCTTATGTTTAACTTGTTGTCTTTTTTGAAACACAAAAACGTATTGTTTTCTACAAGGGTTGTTAATTTAGCTCATTTGAAAATAGTACACCTAGACAATTGTTGCTGCTTCCCTGGGGCATTAGGCAAGATCACGTGGGACTGAAAGAGCTGATATAGGAATAGATGGCCCAGTTGTTTGAGTACTTATTTGGGAGTTGGGAGACCAGGGCTGCGATGCAGATTGTTTTCTACTGGAAGGGGGGATAACAATCCTAACTTGCACAGTTCATGGCAACTGCACTAGCTAGCGGTCCTGATTCCTCAGATTCACAACCTTCCTTCCAGTAAAGACAGACCGTTTCTGTTTAATTTTTAGGTACCAAAGGACAGTTAAATTAGTTGTAAATCAAAGATACAAGACTAATATCCTAAACTTTTTATATGTTTCAGTATGTCTAGGCCAGTTTCCCAAGGCACAACTGTAGCTTTTAGCTCAGACCTTTTGACTGGCTTATTTTTATTTGCCATTCTCTCTATTAACTTGAGCAACTTGAACCCAACCCTCGGCATAAGGGCATCTTGAGGTCTCAAAGTCAAGCCTGGACAAAGATCATTGTACCCGTCTCCAACATAAATGATATGGCCATAAGCAACTCCTTCTGATTCTTTCTTCTCAATAAAGGTTTTCAAAATATGACCTTTACAAAGATTGACAGTGCTGAGTGTGCACCAGTCCTGAGTGTGGTATCGTTTGATAGTCAGACAACCTTTCTCATCGAATTCAGCTGGATTTGTAAAGACCTCATTGATCACCGAAGTCAGCCCCAGGACCTGGAGAAGATGCTGAATAAACATTGAATTTGAATCTGAAATGATGATGTGGTCAAAGGATTCATTTGCAGATGTAACATCTAGAAGCTCCTTAATGCCTTGGGTCAGAGGGATATTTGACATAAAGGACAACATACTGTCAGGAGTGCAACCATTCTTGTGAAGATACCTTGAACAAAGGAAATAAGCAACTCATTAGAAACATGCAGACAACCTGTACAAACTATCATCAGCTATCGGTTTTCGAATAAGAAACTAAGAACTTTTTAAAACAGTAAAGTCCTTGCAGTGCCACACATGTAAAATATTAGCAACAAAAGAAAAACTGAAACAATAAAAATAAAATGTCTATGATGATTCCTAAATGTAATAGAAAAGATTAGATCAGAAATGACAATATCAACAACAAAATTAAGGATGGAAACAGTACTAACCTACATCAAGAGAAAGGAGACCAAATGGTTCAGGTATGTGTCAGACTACCACCAGTGTTAAGATTACCACAAGAAAGTAAACAGAGAGTCCTGTCAGTCATAATGGAAGCAGAACTAGAGGTTGACCATGCAAGCTATTGATAGATGGAATATTCAAGGCCGTAAATACCAGCATCTACATAGCACATACCAACATTTGTGCTCTTTAAAACCTGACACTGAAGGCAGAACAGGAACAGAAAAGAAGAAGTAAAGATCTTGCAATCAAAATAACCACATCAAATTCAAAACAGCTTTCTGTCAGTGAAAAGAAGACCAGGAATCTAACTAGATAGTGACCATGCACAGGTTAGTTGCCTATCCTTTACAGGATGTTGCAGAACCAACCCCAAGCAGCGCCTAGCTGTTATGTGGTTTCTCTAGACAAATTTACGTCCAGTAGTTTGCTATTGCTTTCTGGACGGTAGGCTCCCTGATACCACTGTCGAAACCAATGCAAGGCGCATGGCCTGCAGCTGGGATTGAACCCGGCACCCTGTCATTACGAAGCGTTCGCATCGACTTAGCCACAGAGTCGACTGACCATGCCCAAGAAATCTGAATTATCAAGCAAGATCTGGCAATAAATATATTTAGTAAAAGAGTGACTGCAGTCAGGCTGATATCAAGACATAACTAAACAGGAAACAAACTATGACCACAAAGATCAATGGAGGGGAGAGAAGATGGACACATACACAAAAGAACGTTTTCACTAGATAGTCTTTATCCACATACAAAATCTATTTTATTTATTCTAAACAAGTGAGAGGAAAAAAAATATATATTTAGATTTGGTAATGTCTAAGTCACTAATTCACTTGAAACGTCATGGAAGTCTAGAGAGAACAATAATGGAGGGGTGTTATGCCAGTAGCCTATTAGAGGAATGATGCTAAATTCCAAGTTTTGGAGATGGCGCCTGCAGGATGTGGCAGATGATCTCCTGTCTAGATGGGTGTATCCTGGTACGCAGGACATCTTGCTCAGGATAGGAAGGTTTTCCGGAGGGTTGTTATGGCAGCGAGGTTCCGCGAGGGACATGCTACTGAATGAATGAATGTCTAAGTCAGCTTAGAAAATGAGTGAGCAGTACACTATCAAAAGTAAAAACAAAAGAATCCTTGTTATGTCAGTAGCCTATTAGACATATGATGCTAAATTTATAGTTTTGGAGCCACTAGCACCTGGTTAGTAGTGTGGTCAATGGCAGGCTGGCTGTCTAAACATCATAGAACATTACCTGGTAACAAGCTTTTTGTTCTGGTGGTATATTCAGTAACATCACCTTTGTAATGCATTGTTTCAGCCCTACTGTAACAGAAAATTTATGGTGAGTACTGCGGCCTCCCAAAACACTATAACTATACAATATAGATAAAATGGTATAGAATAGATAAACAATATACATAGACAATAGCTCTCAATACACTATTACTATACAATATAGTTACAATGTTATAGAACAGATCAGGATGGCACATGAACAGTTGCTCCAATACACTGTTGCTTTACAATATAGATAAAATGCTACAGAACAGATAAACACTACACACTATAACTATACAATATATTTTGCAATGGTATAGAACAAATAAACAGTACATACGAACAATAGCTCTCAATACTTTATTACTATACAATATAGATACAATGACACAGAAAATGAATGCAAAATGAGACAATGCAAGAAACATTAAAAGAATGAATACTTATGCAGCTGGCCGTATAAATTAAAAAAATAAACAAAGGATACCTACAAATAATATAATAATAAGAAAACAACCTAAACAAAAGCAAGATAAATACATAAAATAAAGAGAACATGTAGGGCAGTGACAGGTGTCTGGACTATTAGTAAGCCTGAGAAGCACTTACAATCTATGCACAAAATGATCCAAGAATTCAGAATGGACAGACCAGAGCAAGTTATTATTCTACGCCTTAGAACAGGACACAAATACTATATTATCAAGGCAAAACTTTTGGCCAAAAGAAACATCGGTGCAAGCCAAATTTTATGGGTCGCTGAGGGAATTACAAAAGGCAGTGAAGTTCATACTAGAGACAACATTGCAGATAAAGATAATCTATTTCAAGCGACTGAAAGAAGAAGAAGAAACAGAAAATACTAGAATTATCAGGAAGGGGAGGAGAAAGAGGAAGATAGAAATGTTGTGTTACGTTATCACAATCAACATCTTTGATCATTAGGCATCTAAAAGCGTGCTCAGTCCTTGATTGCTCCCATGAGGAGTTGGCTGCGAAGACAGAAACAGGAAGTAGCAGTGGAGCAGAAAGATGTGGAGGATATAATATAAGTGAAAGAGAAGAAGCCAAACAAATAATTTGCTGTCAGCATTTCAAACAATTTGATTCAAACATAATCCAACCTACCTGAAGATCTCCGCCATATAATCAGTCCAGCCATCCTCTTCATACAGGTTCTTGATCTCCTCAGGCAGTTGCCCCCCAGGGGCAAGCCTAGTCACATACTCATCACTATTTTCATCAATCAGTGTGTGGTCAAAGTCAAATACCAGGAGAACTTTCTGCAATTTTTGTTCTGACATCTGCAATACCAATAACACTATGCTTGTTATACATGTGGTCACCAAAAAAAAAAAAACTTTCTATCATTTTTACCCTATCACCTAAAGTGAAATAAAATGTAAATATTATTTTCCACATCTACAGTAACTAACAATTAGTTAGTCAACAGATATAAATAAAGTTTGTTTGCTTGTTCGAACCATTTATTCCATAAGCGTTCAGATCCCCTTCTCAGTATATCCAGCAGCATGTAGGGGTGGACACCGGTTCTATTTTGATTAATTCGTCTTTAGCTTCCTATATAGTACTTTATAGTACTTTATAGTACCCATATTTAACATCTTCCTGAAAGAGTTAATCAGGTCGAGGTCATGCGCAAGCACACAGTTATGATGTATTTGACTGTTCTAGAACTGCGGGTCCAGTTTAATGAAAAGACATGTTTATGTCAAACGCATGTGGTAAATATGAAATTGATAAGGAACTTTGTGATATTCTGAACTGAAATTCCATAAAGAGACTCAGAAATGATCGACAGAGACAAAAGATAGGCTATCCTCAGAATAACGGTCCCAAATTATCGAGGCTATGAAAATACCCTAACAGGGCCTCAATGTTTGTAACTGTGCAGCCAGGAAACTGCGCTAAATATTAAGTAAACAACGTGCAACTAGTGCCGCTGTGGCAACATCGCGTCCGCGTAAGTTCCATCCATAACCCTTCAATCGACAGTGTCACGGTTTCACTGATGCGACAGATTATGGTGGCAGTGTCATAATTGCAATACTCCTTGCCCTAATCCTAACCCTAAACCTAGGACCCAGGGCAGAAGTTAAACCTAGCACTTAGTGTCAGAGCTGTTGACACACACAATGATTTGGGACCGTTATTCAGAGGAGTGTTTACCGTGGTATGCAGTTTATTTGCTGGAAAGAAGTCCACAATTTATATATGACTGAGGCCCTGTTAGGGTATTTTCTTAGCCTCGATAATTTGGGACCTTTATTCGAAGGATAGCCGAAAGATGAAATTGAGACATCCTAAAATATCTGAACATCCAGGAAGATTGGCTAGTGAACAGCCTTTTGTATCAGAAACTAAATAGTTTGGCCATATCAAGCGCAATGGTAGACTGGAAAGAATAGTAGCAGAGGGAATGTTACCAGGAAAGAGAAACATGAACTGACCAGCTTGAAGATGGGCATAGGATATAAGAAATACCTTGGGTAGGAAAGTGTGAGTTAGGAGAGCTGGTGAGAGATCGTTTTTCCTTCAGAACAGCTGTGATCAGTGATGAGAAAACATTCTGCACAGGACATGCTACATGATGATGTTGAATGAATTGTCAATCTTGACCAGACAGCAGGAAAATAAAGTCAAAAGAGATTATATGGGTGGTGGAGGAGAGCCGAGTGGAGAGCAGAGAGAGAGAGAGAGATTGGAGTGAAATGGAGAGGCCAGAACATCAATTCATTTGCTGGGGCAAAGAAAATGTAGAAACTCTGAAACTGAAAACAGCGTAAATTTAGTGTCTCCAGTAGGTACACACAAATTTAAAAAAAAAATGAAATAAAGCTATCTGCAGTATCCCTACCTGCTCATTAACACTAACAGCATTATATAATAATATTATTATATATATAACCATCGGTGCACTTTGATACCGTTATATTTAGCTTTTTCTTCAGATGATTTCTGACTGATCTCGTCATTTGTAGAAGAAATGTGCAGAGAGAATATATGCGTCAGAGTTAAGTGACAATGCTAGGCATAATCAAATACAACAGTACGTTTTTTCATCAACTGTGTGTAAACAACGAGAACTGTTTCCACTTGTCCCCTTACCTGATCTGCTGCTGTGGATGTTGGTGGCTGGTGGTTCTGTATGTGGTTTATGTTCGTTGACCAGCAGACGGTCTGTGAGAGTGACTGCCCTTTACTTTCAGGGGAAGTAAACCCTAGTTACCGTTGATAGTTTACATGGTTACCGCGATGGAGACTATCTACATTTTGTGGGTGCAGGCTGAAATTTAGAAACTGATACGTGTATCAATATATTTGAAGCGTTAATTTATAACTTGATATGGCTACTGTTATGCATGGTAGACGGAAAGGAAAACAAAAAGGTACTATAACTAAAATTAAAAACAATTTATAAACGCCAGTTGACATTTCTCTGATAGTTAATAAAAAGTTAGTCGACCGGTTTATTATTAAGTGCTTGTATCCCCTCCTTAGCAAATCCCGCAGCGCGCAGTGGCTCACGACACCAGTTCTGTGTTGCTTCTTTAGATTCCGGCATAGCACTTTTGTCTGGCCACACCTCTATTACAATTTTGGCTTTCTTCCAAATAACGGTCCCAAATTATCGAGGCGGAAAATATACCTTAACAGAGCCTCAGTCACGTGTCAATTGCTAACTTCCGGCGACTTAAATTGCGCACTACCGGCGACTTCCGCCACCGCCGAGAGTTTCCCAAACGCCGCTCACGCAGCGTGGACTGGGGCTAAACTAGATGGCTGGGACTCATGAGCAGCAGCTACGGAATCTCCTGCAGCTTCCTTCATTTTATTTGCTCGTGTGTCCTAGCCATCAAGTTTAGCCCCAATCCACGCCGTGTGAGCAGCATGTGGGATACTCTTGGCAGTGATGGTATAGATCTAATTTCTGGGGTGGCGGTATAGTCCCTGAAAGTGCGCAATTGACACGTGACTGAGGCTCTTTTAGGGTGTATTTTCCACCTCAATAATTTGGGACCGTCATTCGGAAGATAGCCAAAATTTTTTTTTTTGCAGTCTGGTCAATGTGGGTTCACATTTATTTCTTGGTTCTGGCAAACCTCTTACTTCTCGAGAGCATTCAGAATATCAGCATGATCTATTACTCATCTGCCATCCACATCAGCTTTACCTGCAAGCTGATCAGCCTGCTCGTCTCCTTGCACATCTGCGTGCCCTGGCACAAATATGAAACTGGGCTATCCTCGGACTAACGGTCCTAAATTATTGAGGCTTAATATAAACCATAACAGGGCCTCAGCCACGCGTCAATTGCGCACTCCTGGGGACTATAATGCCACCGCCAAATAGCGAACTTCTGACAACTTCCGCCACTACCCAGAGTATTCCCCACACCGCGTGAGCGGTGTGGATTGGGGCTAACCTAGATGGCTAGGACTCATGAGCAAAAAAAATGAAGGAAGCTGCAGGAGATGTTGTAGCTGCTACTCGTGAGTCCCAGCCATCTAGTTAGCCCCAATCCACGCCGCTCATGCGGCGTTTGGGATACTCTTGGCGGTGGTGGAAGTCACAGTAAACGCTCAATTTAAGACGACAGAAGTGCGCAATTGACACGTGACTGAGGCCCTGTTAGGGTATATTTTCTGCCTCGATAATTTGGGACCATTATTCGGAGGATAGCCTGAAACTGATATGTGTCAAACTTGATTGCTGTAGAGACTCCAACAACTGTCTTCGAACCCAGCCCATTTCTTTCTTCCTGAGCATACTCATTGAGTCACTGTGAAAGAATGCGCTGAAAAAAAGTCTGTGTCTCCAGCCATGTTATTGCTTTGATGACTACAATGACCTCCATAATCAGACTACATGAGGTCAAGGCAACAGCACCAGAATCTTGCTTCACAATTTTAACTCCAGTCTGAACCTTAAAAGCCTAAGAGCTTTTCACGTGGCGAATTACAGACCCATCTGTGTAAATGACAGCATCCCCTGTAGAGAATTCTCAAAAATCAACGCCTGCACTTCTTCATCAAGTGGCCAGACTTTCTTGTCTGCATTTTCGGTCTAGTCAGATGCAAACAGAAAAGGTCAAACAGCACTCCTTTAATATTTGTACCCATTCCTCACTAGTTTCTATGTCCTCAAGTGAACACACCTGCTGAATAATGTCCATGGCCTGACCCATCCATGATTTTCTTCTTTTTAACCTGCTGCCTTTTTCTTATTAATTTCACCATGCAGCGGGTGTCGTGCGTCTGCGTTGAATCTGAGGTAAGAACCTGCTCAGCAAATTTGAACTCTGTCCTCTATGGTTGGAAAAATCGAGAAGGTAGTGCATCGTCATACATGCTGTATCTCTTGTACATCCAAGTATAATGTGCATAACCTAGTTCTGTATCCTTTCCATTCTCTCCATGTGTTTATGGCTGAGAGTTCTGAAAATACTAATAATACATATATCATGGGAGACACATAAGAGGCAGAGTGGTCTCGAGGTATGGTATCTGCCTCAAGTGTCGGAGGTCTCTGGTTCAAGCCCTGATTAAGGCTTGGATTTGTTCACGTGGACTTCTAGTAATTCCCCCTGGTCTCTGGGTAGTAATATAAGATGCCAGTGTGTACAAATCTTGGCAGTTGGAAATCGAAAAGAGTGGCCTAATGGTGCTGCCCAGGTAAAATTTGGAGTTAAAAATCTGCCCAAAAGTATTTCAGGATCCTTGCCAGTGCAATGGAGTTTGTGCACTGCACTAAGATTCTTTAGACTCAGGCTTGAGTTAAAAGTAGAATGGGTTAGATCCATGTGCCATGATGTTGATTCCTTGAATAGACATAAACATAAATCATTTTGCCACAGTAAAAGCCTAAAGGGTGACAACATGCCTACTGACACCTCGTTTCAGTATACATACCAAGTTTAAGAAATCAGCATGTAGTAGTGTGTATTGCTGTGTTTTGTATTCATACCTGTAATGGCAGTTTAATCAGTGAAACATATTTGGGCACTCCTTGCAACAAAAGCTACCCTAGGGTACACAATCATTGGTTGTTTACAGCGAATATAAGGGCTACAATCCACTGCTTGTGTACGTTCACCTTATAGTTTTCTGTAATATTTAATATGGCTTTCCATTAGGGTTAGGGTTTGAGTTAGGGTTAGGGTTTGAGTTAGGGTTAGCCCTAATTTTAACCATATCCTAATCTCAAACAATTTTAAATATAAAAGAATATTATTATTATTAAGTGAAGTTACACAAACAGTGGATTACATCCCCTAGTGTCAGCACTGCAGTAGTAGAAGCCAGCAGTGCCTTCTCCATGACCACCAGCAGCATGATGATGGAGGTAATGGCGGTGACACAGGCTTTCATGTGGCTGGGATCACAGGACTATTCCCGTGTGTGTGTGCTGAGTGATTCTTTGAGCATGATCCCTTGGGTCAAGGCAGACTAGTTACACAGACAGTGGCTTGAGTTGTTGCAGAATTCTCCTGTGTGTGCAGTTACTTTCATATTCACCTCAGGGTATGCAGGCGTTGTTGGTAATGAGAGAGCTGATAGACTGGCAGGTACTGCATTAATTGAAAATGGTTGGCCCATGGATCACTTAGACACTGTTATTGCCCTTAAAAGATAGGACATTCTGAGGATTTTGGAACCAACGTGTCCATATCACTGCTAAAAATACACAAATTGGGAATAAAGATCGTCACAGCCAATCATGAGAAGCACACTGGATGCCCACAAAGTCTCGTTAACCAACATAGGACTGGTACTATTAACCGCACAATGAATATGTTGAGAGGGGAATCTGAGTGCCTATGGATGTGTCCAGAGTGCTGTGAAGATAATTTAACTCATAAATCATAACTGCAGTAGTGTTAACCTACACTAGATTGCGTCCTCTAGGGTTGCTATTGCATGAGAGTCCCCATATTTGGAATATGATTCAAGCCATACATTTTTAAAGCGCTAATTCTGGTGGACTCCATCAGTTTTTATTCACAGCTGTCTCTGCATCCATGCTTATATTAATCTTAACCTCCTTCACCATAATGCCTCTTTGTACTGACTGCCATTAGTTTTCTCTTTCTTCTTTTCCATTTTCTTTTCATTCAAAACTTATGGTTTTTACTTTGCTTCCTACTTCTCATGAAAAATTAATCTCAGGATGTCATAGATTTCCTTGGGAATTATTTATCTTTATTTAGCTTATTTTATACAATTAACACATATACAATTTAAATGTTTCTGAAAATTTTTCATATAAATCCCATACTTTATTGTAGTGAATGTTTGCTGAAAATTTTTCGTGCGTTGTGTGGCCAGGATGCCCATTGTGCGTGCGTGTGTGGCGTGCGTGGGTGGGTGGGGTGGTGGGGTGGGTGGGGGGGGGGGGGGGGAGGGATAGAAATATTACCCATTAACAAACATATCATAAGAGGTGTCTAATGAAGGATTTTCTAAGATAAGATTTTTTGATCCAAAGGGTGCAAATATCATAGCCTAGCTGTAAACAAAACCACAACGTGCCATTCACCTTGTTAAAGGCAAACATAAAAGAAGGAAACAAAAGTAAAAAATTGTCTTGAATATTAGCCACACAGGCATATTATCTGTCTATATTTTGCATGTTCTAATTATTAGATTCAGTTAATAGCAATTATTTGATTAACTTCAACTAAATTGTTCAAAAATAGAATATGGTACCATAAAAACAAATGTGGTCATAAAGTCGGAGATGGATTAGTAAAGGAATGTTTTGAGTTAAAACTTTGTTTTAATAATCTGTTCTGGTTATACCTATAAAAATTAAATGTGACACACAATTATTATTCTTGTCATAGAATTAGAAGTTGATAATACACTGGTTTTGTTTCTTCAGATTATATTACTAATGTTACTTTTAAATTTGTTTTTGTTTTGTAGATGAAACAGGTAGAAAGCCAATTCTTGACTGCAGTTCATTTTCAAATAACAATGGAATGAAGCTGCCTGATGGCACGGACTTGCGACAGGTCACTGTGCTGTCAAAACAAGATTGGGAAAGAATTGAAAGGGAACTGAACCGCAAACAGTTAGAAAATGAGTTGGCTCGCAGGATTCATGAAGAAAAAGAGGAGCAAAAAAGAAGGTCAAAGGAAATCATAAAAAACTGGCCTAATACTATTGCTGTAAGTTTGTATGTTTGTGTGTAAAAAAAAAAATTTAAACAAAAAACGTCTTTTCTTTGCATTGTAAAATTGCCTGTATCTGTTTGCTTTTCTGGTTCAGTCCTATCAGGCACAGGAATTTCAGGTTAGACTAGGCTGGTGTGGCCATTACAAGAACTTCAGTTATAACTTCTTTGGAGATTCAATAGGGTATCTTTAGAGATTGGAGGACGTATGCATGATTGAACCTGGAATCTCTAGCACTCGAGGCGGACACCATGCCTCGAGACCATGGGTTCCACCTTCACCACTCCCGCTGTGAAGAAATCTTCTAAACTTTTGTTTTCTCATTTTTACATCTCCGTTCCCCTATCCATGTAATAAAAAGCTTCCCCTCTTTGTCGATATTGCTGCCTAAATAGATGACATTTGAGTAATTTGGTATTAAATTGATTATTATTAGCGTAATGAGAACATCATTAAGCAGATATTTCATTTCTTTCTTATGCTTAATAATTTATGTCATAGTAATTATTAACTGCTAATACTAATGGTATCTTTTGAGATAACAAGAATTTAATTTTAATTTTATTTTACCGTTGTTAGCAAACCATGATAATATATTCAGTTATGATCCAAGTCTTCATTTTATCATCTACAGTTTACATTTACATTATGAAGGGGAAAACAAATCATCCTTGTCAGTTTTCCAACTTACTGTATATATTTTCTATCCTACATATTTAGTTTTCCGGACTTCTGGTTTTATTTCAGTTTGATTTGAAAGTGATGCTTATTTTTTAATTCTGATATTTCAATTTTTAGCTGAGCATTTAAAGACAAATAATTGTTTACTACACCAGACTTGAGCTCAAAGGTTCACTTTTATATACATTTTGTTTTTTTTAGGTGTATTAAGCTTCCAAGTCGTACACTAGGTTCATGTAGCCTAACTTGTGTAAAAAGCAGTTAAATCTACTTTTTTTGTTACCACTTCTGAGTAATGGTCCCATAAAGAAGTCACATAAATCATTGACCACTATTTTTACAACTGTTGTAGGACATAGCACAGCTGCCATCTTGTTCAGGATGATGAAGAAAGGAGAATAGCTGCTCTTTGAAATTAATATTATTCAACCTCAGAATGTTTTCCAAAATTCCCAAGAAGTGAAATGGCTACAGTGCCAAATTGTCAGAGTATTACTTTCAAGAATTATAAATGAATAAACCTTAAAAATACTTAGAAGTAGCCACACAGGAAGCCAGATTTCTTTAAAGCACTTGAGTGAAAATAAAACAAGGAAAAAAGCTTAAACAAAGCAAAGGTGACACAACCAACTCCCCTGCCCCCTTTCCCATTAGCTTTCAGTGACTAATTGTGCCAGGTTCAGAATTGCTGACTAATCTACTCTCTCTGTCTCTCTATCTTTCTCCTTCTCACGCACACACACACACACACACACACAAACACGCACGCACACTTAATGCACTGCTATTTTATTGTCTGTTTCTGCTGAACTATATATATATATATTCTAATTTTCAATATTTATTCAATTGGCGGATATTTTCTCTAATTTCTTATGATTTCCTAAGACTGGTGAATGAGGTTATACAGTAACAGTAGTGCTGTTTGCATTTCTATTATTGCAGTATAAATTAAAGTGGACTTGTCATATTGTAAAAAAAAAAGTATTTATTGTATATGATTGTAATAGAATTTATTTATTTTTGAACTATCATATTCAAGGGTCTGACACAAAGAAAATTGGAGGCTCGCCGAATCCGGGAGGAAAAAGAAGAAGAAGAGCGCAAGCAAATTGACATAGAAGAAGCTAAATTTCAAGCACAAAAGCGTAAAGAAGCAATAGACAAAGCAAAGACTCAGCAGTATTACCAAACAGATAGAGTCAAGAATTTCCATGTAAGTTTTGTGTGAAAGTTTGTACTTTCTTTGTAAAGCAGAAAAGATGCATGGGCGTTTTTGTTTTAGCCAACATCTCATGTAACCTATTTTACCTCTTGTGCTGATTTGATGACTATTTTTGCATTTGTCTACAAAAACACTGGTTCTAGAAGTGATCTTTTGTGATGGAAGTAAAGCTTTCGTCCAGCAAGGAAATTTCTGAATATGGCCTAGTATTATCACATAGTCATAAAATGAAAAAACCAAAAAAATATAATAAGTATAATACCACATATTGACCAATATACTTGAAAACTCAAATTCTATGTTTTAGCAAAGTAAATTATTTTTGTTTGTAAAATTTGACATGTGGTTCAGGTGAATCCAGTCTAAAATAAGTACCATAAAATATTATGTCAAATCAAGGTAACCTAGATTTCTTCATTTCCTAGTCTGTTGCAGTTTGACAGAATCCATATGGAATCCATCTTATTGGAACTTATTTGTATTTTTGACAGTCAACTGAGTTCTGTTCTGTTTGTAGGTCTGCTTCTGCTCTTCAGTGTTGAAACAACCATCAGTCTTCTGCTTCTTCTTCAACTATCAGTGGTTGCTATGCGTCTATTCCAGTGTGGGCCATAAACATGGTTTTATGCTTGAGGTCTTTGCTAAAGCCCCATAGGGCCAGGGCCAGGAGACTCTTCTCTCTGAAACCATCAGTTTAGCTCCAAGGTGTTAAAATGAGTACTGGATAATTTTTAGTAATCTCAGATTTATCAGAGGAAAGAAAGACTGTGAAAAAGAGAACTGGCAATGTCATCTCATTGTACTCTGAATGACCCTGTCTCATTTAAGCAGTATCCGCCTTAACCTTCTAACATGTTTCCACAGAGTGCTTTAATTCTGACTGAGGTTCTCAAGGAACGTGACGCTCAGCTTGAACTTAAGCGGCTCAAGGAGCTTGCAGACAAAGAGCTAGACAAAGATCATACTAAAACAGATCGAGATGCCTATGAAAAGAGCCTTCAAGCTGATCTGGAGAAAGCTAGACTTTGTCATGAAGCTGCTAAAAGAACTGCAGAATTCCAAATGGCTCAGTAAGTGCATATGCTGACAGTGAATAATTGTATATTTTTTTCTCAACTTTTTGAGTCCCAAGGAACGCATCATACGTTCATAGGTTCCTACCTAGAAGCCCAATGAACGCACAATGCGTTGATTTTATTGCTTTCTTTACTACCCCCTGGGCCTGTGATGCTAAACCCCCTGGGACTCAAAGAGTTAAAGTCAATGCCGATTAGCGTTGGTCATCACATCTCTCCACAGCATTCTGCAAACAAATTGCTGATAATTTTCATACAGATGTCCTTTGAATGTCATGATTACTGTTGTGTGCTATCTGAGTTACACACTAATCAGCACACTACCAAGTGTCTAAAGATGTACTTTCGCTCCCACCACTTGGAAACAGAACTCGACGACAATAGTTCCGTCACATAGCATCTTTAATTGACAGAACACAAGAGGTTATACACCAGCCCCACATCAACAAAACTGCAGAGACGTAGACATTGATCACAGTTGACATTCACACATAGTCCATTTGTCCTCACTCGCTCTCTCTCTCTCTCAATTTGTAGCGATCTCTCCTTGACCACTACAGCTCCAAGGACTACAGTGTCCCGCACTCTGGACACGCAGTACAGCTGAATAAGACAAATCCTCCTATCCACTGGACCTTAATATTATTTCAGCAGACAACCACGGCTGACTGGAGACGGACTTTCCTTGCCATACTCCAAAAGCACACAGCTTTCGTCAGCTTGTGGAAGGGCTCCGATGACCGACAGGACTTCTACCATAAGTCCCCTCTAGTACACAGCTCTCCTCAGCACCACCCCCCTGTTCTGTTTCACTAGTGGTCCTCCTACGTTTCTCTACGTCGCCACCCAGAACAGGTACTACTGGAGCCTTCCGTCCCCTGGACTTCCTTTGCCAGCGGGACCATATCTTCTTCAGTACCGCAACCTCAACACTTACTCAGACCTTGATGCCTGATAGTCGTACGGTATTCTTGTCTGTTGAGACTCGAGAGAGAAAATCATGGACCCTGACTGGTCTCTGTCTCTCTCGCTCTCTCTTCGGCTCCGACTGCCTTGGACTGACTACTCAGCCCCCAATTTATTCCCATCGAACTTGAGGGGGTGGATGATGTTTACACGAGAGGCACGCTCATATGGGCATTCTCGGGAATCATGATCCTGTGGGCGTTCTTGAGGATCACGCTTATGTGGGTGGCTGATGTTACCTGAGAGTCACGCTGTTACGTACTTCACACTTTCTCTGTTTATCTCGTTAGCCATGCTTTCAGCCCCCACACCGTAACCCACGCGTCCACTTTCTTGTGGCACAACCCTCCTCACTGGTCAACATAGAGCCAATGTTGACAATTCCCCGTGAACTCACAGAAGTATTCTCATACCAATGTCCCTTCACACAATATTACACTTTACCCAAATCAGCAGGCAACAATTACAAAAAATGTCTCCCTTGGTCTCACCCTGCCTCTCTGCTCCTGTTTCATGTTGTCACAGGAAACTCCAGTTCTCCTCTTCTGATAGCTTACTCACAGAATGTCGATAATTGTAGTCATATACAGAAATTATACCCTGCCTTAATATCTGAATATATAAAAGGCCTTTTTTCATGCCTTTAGACATATTGGATATATAGAAGCTGGTAGTTGAGTGCTTTGCTTGAAAACAATCAAGCATCCTCAAAGGGGAAGGTTAGGTTATAGTTGTGACTAGGTTATGTGTGCCATATAAAATAGCTAAGCATTGCACTCCACCAAGAGCCCTGAAAAGGACTTGTGCAATGTTGGTGCCATCAAAGGAGACAGACTCAGATACTGTCCCGACCGGCTACGAAGGCATCCACCAGCTAGCCAATGGGTGACCCAGGCGCCAGTGTGGGTGTGGGTATATAGGGCTAGACTGATATTTTTAAAGACCACTTGACATTTGGCTGTTTGATCTATAAAATATAGGTCTAGCCCTATATACCCAGTACGCCTGAAACGCGTGGAAATGGGTCCTTTTCTTTAACTTGACACTTTGTGGGTGATGTGGACAACACCTTTGCTTCCCATGACTTTACATTGTACCCATTTTAGTCTGGGTTGACCTGGAAGCAAAGGTCGTGACTGAAAACAATCTGGCTATGTGTGGATTTGAACTCACAACCTTTGGATCTAAAGGTGAGCATCTAGTCATTACACCTCATGTGAATATGAGCACACTGAATATTTTTTCTAAAGATTAAAAGTGGTGAGAAACTGAACCTGTGGTCCAACTTACCATGCATGTCATAAAAGGCAACTACGCAAGGTTGGTATCAGACTGACCAGCTCATCTTACGGACACATTAGCCACAACATTCAGCCACTCAAATCCAAGTCTACAAAAGAGTTGACTGATGGCCGGTTCTTCATTTGGAGATACAAGACAAAAGAAGATGGCTACCATTCTGGGAAAACACTATACAAAAGAAGATGGGTACCAATCTGAGAAAACACCATACAAAATAAGATGGGTATCATTCTAAGAAAACACTAAACAAATGGATCCTGAATAGAAAACAAAATAATGAGTTTGAGAAACAATTGCAGACATAATTTAATTAAAGGCCAGAAGCTGGCTGCAGAAAAAAGAAACAAACATTCAAGAAATAAAGATTTAGTTTAAGTTTTTGTGTGTTTTGGTTAGTAATACACTATACATTTCTTTTACTGTATGTTTTGTTAACCAGCCCATGAGAGACTAAGCTTTGATTGTAAGATTTTAGTCATCTTTGAAATTGTCTATCCATCATTTTCTTGGATATTCTCTGGCCATAATTTCAGATTACTCATAGTATTGTGTCTTGTACAGGTAGCTAATCATATTTCTTTTTGAAATGATGTCCAAGTAATTCCACAGAAATGTATACTGTTGAAAAAAATGCATAGTTATCCAATTGCACATTTTTATTAGTTGATGTGAAAGCCCATATACTTGAAAACTATTGATGACTTAGATGCAAAAACCCTAAGGTATAATTCTGTGCAATTTGAACAATTTCACTCATTAAATTACAGAAATTGTATTCGTCAAAATTATGTTCCTTTCAGTACTTATGCTTCCTTTTTTTGTTTTGTTTTGTTTTTTTAAAATTGTTGTTTTTGTCTATAATTTACAAAAATTAATAGTAAAGGCGGCCAGCATTATAATGACCACATTAATTGTCGAGGGCCAGTGGGTGTATAAAAATATGGGTCTAGCTCCAAATGCTCAGTGCATCACTGGCACCAAAGGGTTCTTTACATTTAAAAAAAAATTAAATTTCTTTTAAAAACTAAAAACCAGTTAGTAAAAATAAAATTAAAAAAACGTTGTTAACCCTTAGATGGAAGAAAAAGCTCAGTTTAGCTCAGTTATGTATCAGCTTATGTCTTATGCTAACTTTCATCAAACTTGTAGAATACATGAGCATCTGACCAGTGAGGAAAAGGAGAAACTAAATGATCTCAAAGAGGGTGAAGAGCTGAAAAAATTGGCAGCCCAGTTCCACATCGAGAAAGAGAGACTGGACAAAATGAGGAAAGAAGAGAGGAAGATGGTGATGAAAGAAAATGTACAACAGATTGAAGATTGCAAGAAGATTAAACAGCTACGAGAGCAAGAACAAGAGGTATTTCTATTTACTATTGCATCTCTCTTGCGCTCTCTCTATGTGTGTTTGTGTGTGCACGTTAGTGCATGCGTGCAGGTGTTTGTGGGGGGGGGGGGGGGAGGGGGGAGATGGGTATGTGAATGAGTTCTAGTGCAAAGAAATTTTAGTATGTTCTCAGGTTTTCTCAGTGTGTGTCCGATTCAGCGCCAGCATCGTTTCTTCACCTCTTGGTCCACTGGAACTTGTTTAGTTCTCTCCCAAAGCTCTGCATTAATTCCATCTATTCTGTGCAGGCACCAGTGAATGAATGTTTGTAGTTTATTAGTTTTTGCCTTTTTTGTTCTCCGTGTTTCCGTTCCATACAACAGTACCCATTTGACATTAGTATTAAAAATGTTATGTTTAGTATTAGTTTTAATTTTTTTCACCTCCACAGATTTCCTGAAAGCTGCTCTTGCCTTTTGTATTCATATTTTAATATCTCTATCAGTTCCCCCATCTTTATCTACCTTACTGCCTAAATAGGTAAACCAGTCTTTTACTCTCTTCGAATACCTTTACTACTTGTAGAGGAGGTTATGAGGGTATAAGCTTGTGAGTCTAGGTAACAAATAAGACAGTTCTCTATGTGAATTCTGAGGAAAGAGGGGATAGACCCACTGCCCCCCTAACTAAAGTCAACTAATTAGTTAGGGGTGTTCCCTTCAAAGTCGAATTGCATCTGCCTGAGAAGTGAGAAACCAACAGTCTGCTCACAAATAGTCCAATCTCTAAAACATATGTGCTTGCAAAACTCAAGTTCTTGAATAAGACTAATTCCAGAAGTAGACAATCATAATTTTCTGCCAGAGTTTACAGCCCTTAAATGTTGAGAAGAAGAAGAAGAAAAAGAAGAAGAAGAAGAAGAAAAGAAGAAGAAGAAGAAGAAGAAGAAGCAGCAGCAGCAGCAGCAGCAGCAGCAGCAGCAGCAGCAGCAGCAGCAGGAGGAGGAGGAGGAGGAGGAGGAGGAGGAGGAGAAGGAGAAGGAGAAGGAGAAGGAGAAGAAGAAGAAGAAGAAGAAGAAGAAGAAGCAGCAGCAGCAGCAGCAGCAGCAGCAGCAGCAGCAGCAGCAGCAGCAGGAGGAGGAGGAGGAGGAGGAGGAGAAGGAGAAGGAGAAGAAGAAGAAGAAGAAGAAGAGCAGCAGCAGCAGCAGCAGCAGCAGCAAAAATAGACAGTCACTAGTCATTATTTTTGTAAAATATTTAGTCATTTCTGTCCACCTGTATCCTCTTCATGGCACTGCTGACACATAAAGCATTCACAAATGATCTCCATTGCTACAGGTCCACTGCCCTTCTTCCCACGGTATCCCTTGTAATTTTCCATTGCTTCGTTTTGTTTTTTTACTGTCCTTCACATTTCTGTATGTTATCCTTGTCTCTCTGATGTCCAGTGGAGAACTGTCCCTGCCAAAGATTCAGGTGGCATTCTGCACCCATTTGCAAGCATCTCCATCTTCTTCCTTTGGCATCACTTCTCAGTAATGAGCATTTTATTTTCCTCTTCAATTCTTAATTTATTAGACATTTATATTGACAAGTCTCTAGTTTATTTGTTAATCCCACTGTCATTTTCCATTATTCCTAACATTTTGCTCTTATATATTCTGAGTTTTGCCTTCAAACTAAGTCTTTTGTAATTTACTGAAGTGCATAAAACCCAGCTTTAGATTATCAGCAAAAAAAATTAATAAATAATTTAGGATAATCCATTAACTCTTTGAGTCCGAAGAAACGCATCATACGTTCATAGATTTCTACCTAGAAGCCCAATAAACGCAAGATGCACCAATTTTACATCTATCTTGACTACCCCTTGGGCCTGTGAAGCTAAACCCCCTGGGACTCAAAGAGTTAAGAAAATGACCTTGGCTCCCAGGTCGACCCAGCCTTGAGTGGGTACCGGGTGCAGTCCTGGGAAGTAGAGGTAGCTGGCGTTATGCTGACCACATCACCCATTTTGTGTCGTTGGTCTATAAAAATATAGATCTAGCCCTATATGCCCTATACGCCTTAAAGGCGTGGAAAAGGTTCTTTTACTTTTTTTACTTACTTATTTTCATTAAAAGCAGGTAAATAAAACATGAGATTCCTTTTTTATTTTCTTAAACGTAAAAGATCCGTAAAGTACTCATATACCTTGTAGAAAATTGAAAAACCTTTTATACAATATAATCTCACAGGAGGAAGATGAAGAGTGCAGAGTTTTTGCTGCTGCTAAAAGAAAAATGATGCAGCTTCGAGCTCAGAAGGAGATAGATATTTACAAGTAAGAGGTTTTCTTTCTTTTTTAAAAAATATTTATTAATAAGACAGTTTCTTTCCTATATTCATAAGTTTACACTTACTTTTCAATACTTTGGAAAATTAATCAGTCAGCTAGAATGTCCTTTAAAGAATATCACTCTTCAAGCACGCCTGAAAGTCTCTCTTTCTTTAGCCAGTTCTCCAGCCCTGTGTGCTTTCATAGCCAATGCATCTTCATTGTCCATCATGGGGTCAGCCTCTAGTGGTCAGCCTCTAGCAGTCAGCCTCTAGCGGTCAGCCTCTAGCGGTCAGCCTCTAGCGGTCAGCCTCTAGCTGTCAGCCTCTAGCGGTCAGCCTCTAGCGGTCAGCCTCTAGTGGTCAGCCTCTAGCTGTCAGCCTCTAGTGGTCAGCCTCTAGCGGTCAGCCTCTAGCGGTCAGCCTCTAGCAGTCAGCCTCTAGCAGTCAGCCTCTAGCAGTCAGCCTCTAGCAGTCAGCCTCTAGCGGTCAGCCTCTAGCAGTCAGCTTCTAGCGGTCAGCCTCTAGCGGTCAGCCTCTAGCGGTCAGCCTCTAGCGGTCAGCCTCTAGCGGTCAGCCTCTAGCGGTCAGCCTCTAGCGGTCAGCCTCTAGCAGTCAGCCTCTAGCGGTCAGCTTCTAGCGGTCAGCCTCTAGCTCGTTGTCTGGAAACTGCATCCTCCATCACCATTCTCTCCAGACAACCATAATGCCTGCTGTGTCCAATGAAACCTCAGCTTTCGGCAGAGGATGCTGTTTATGAGCCAGTTCTCCGTGATATTCAGGTCATGCACAATGTTGAATCTTTCTTCTTCATGCTGCATGATGTTCTAAGAAATTTTCTGCAGCATTTCTGTTCAGAGCTAAGATGTTCTTCTTCATAAACTGAGTGAGAGTCCGTGACTGACATCCATAAGTTGCCACAGGAAAGATGCATGATCTCAAGATTTTGACTTTAACATGCTTGCAGGTAGCATGCCATAGGGTCTTTATGCTGTTTAGCCTGTGCACTGCTAAAGCAAGTCTTTTTTCCGATTTCTTTTGGTTTTTTCATGTCACTGCTGATGTTTGTTATTGAGCCTAAATATTCAAAATCTGTGACATTTTCAGTCCCTTCATTGTCAGGTTTAATACATGGTTGCAGGACTTTATCCATTGTAGACGTTATAAGTAAAGACTTTCTTTGATACCTGAATGAATACATAAATCTAAAGCTGACACCACAGCACTGTGAACATTCCCAAACATGCTCCATCTCTTCAGTAAGCAACAAAGAGTCAACATGTTTATTGTACCAGTTACAGCCTGATGAAAGGTCCATCTCTGTTTTCCCTTTGGTGTTGAATATCTTCCAGAACCTCTACTCTTTCAGTGTATTGATTCCCTATCTGTTCTTTTGCAATGTCCGTTTGGTTCCATAAAGCCTTCACCACATCTAAGTTACTATGGCTCCCTTAAGTTTAGTATTAGATAAAATTCATTCACTTTTTTTACTGATAAACTGTTTCTTTGCAGAGACAAGCAGGCACGGCTGGAACGTATCAAAGATAAACTGATTACTAAGCTGAAGCAGAAGATTAACGATGAAGAGGATAGAATGTGCAGTGCAGTAGAAGAGATTGAGAAGAAACGCTTAGAGGAGGAGAGAGCTAAAGAAGAGAAACTACTGAAGGACATACGTGAACAAGCAGAACACAGAATGATGCAGGTAAATAACTGATGTGTGGAATCTAGTGGTGCTAGAAGAAGTTATTGATGTATATAAAGTAAGTATTACCATATATGTTTATGAATGTTATAGCGTGGAGACTAGAAGACTTCAATGCTCACCCATTGGTCATATATTCAAGTCCCCTCTGAAGTGGGTATTTTTGTTTCCACTGATCTGAAATAGGAACCAGGAAACTTTAAGAAAAATAAAGGGGGCCAACATATTGACAACACGATCCATCAACTGCTGACCAGATAGACAATATTGGAGTAAGATCATATACCCAATGTCCCCCGTGTGGGTTTCGGGGCCCTATTGTGGGGAAAACAAGAATAGACCCACTGCCTCCCCAAAAGCATGTCGTAAGAGTCGACTAACTGGGGAGCTTCCTTTGAAGTCGGAGTGCATCTGCCTGAGAGGCAAGGAACCAGCAGTCTGCATTCAATTGAATCAGATCTGTAAAACTGATGCACATGCAACACTCAGGTTCTGGAGCATGACTGCAGTCCAGAAGTGGACGAACAACCAGAACTTTACGCCAGAGTGTACAGCTGGTGAACACAAAGAAGAAGAATATACCCAATGTGCCTTTTGGCATGAGTAAACGTTCTTTACTTTGTACTTTTTTATTTATATCTGGATACTATTCAAGTATATAGTGGATATAATGTTACCCATACTCTCTGTAACCAGATTTCTTGTGGTGACAACAAATTACCAGAAGTAAGTCGACGAAACATTACCAACTTTAGTCACAACTAAGCCAGTCAGTATGTGCTGTCCTTAATCATGATCCCTCCAGGTGGGTTCCGAAGCCAAATTTGGGGTGGGGAAGGGGGGGGGGTTGGACCCACTGTGCCCCTCCTCTCCCACCTCTCCCCCTTTCAGCAAGCATGTCTTAGAAGGTGATCAATTAGAGGAGTTTCCTTTGATGTCAGAATGCGTCTGTCTGAAAGGTGAGGAGTCAGTAGTTTACAAACAAATATGTCATCTGTAAAACGGCTGCGCATGCAAAACTTAAGCTCTGGAACAAGACAAATTCTAGAAATAGATAACAACCAAAATTTTCACTGGAGTTTGCAGCCAGTGGAAGCTGAGGAGTAGAATCATGGTCTGGTTGCCTCCTAAAATGTCTGTCTGTAGAAGTATAGTCTTGTGCCTGTCTTTTACACTAAACATGTTCCTGAGCTCTGAACAGGAAGAAGAGCTCTAGAAAACTATCTCCATGGAGATGGTACTTTAGAACCATGCTGAATCACACTCTACGTCTGTCTCAGTCTAACAGATACAGGCTTTTTTCAGTGCTCAGTTGACCAAAATGTCAAATGGATTTTTGACTTAAAAGCTAGTTTGGTCATTATCACACTTCCCATTATTAATATAGGAATCTCTTGTATCACTTTTTTAAAGCTGAGTTAGATACTTCAATGACCAGGATAGCGTCCATTAAAACTGTGAGAATGCAATGAATATGTTCACCTTTTCAACAACAAAAACTATTATAATGAGAGCAAATTTGCTGTAAAAAAAAACTTTCATTGCCAACACTTGATGAGTTATGAAAGTAATACCTTAGTTACTCAGACATTTGTATTGTCTTGGATTACAGAAAATTGACTAAAATTGACTGAACTACTGCTGACATAAATATTTTTAAGAAATGCACACATTTAGAATAAAGTTAAAGTTAAATCATTTATTTACAGCTGAAAAACAAAGAAGAGAAAGCCAGACGGGAAAAGCAGGAGGAACTAGAGCTACTTCAGATGAGACATGCTGCTGATGAACTTTTCAGACAAAATGAAAATGAAAAGTGCATGCAACGAAGACAGAATGCAGAACAGATCAAGAATTTTCTTATTGATCAATATGTAAGTGTTATTTTATGAAAAAATATTTTTTTTTTCAACAGTGTCAATGGTCATATTCACTTGTATCTTGCCACATCTACAGATAAACCTTCTTGCCACATCTACAGATAAACCCTCTTGCCACATCTACAGATAAACTCTCTTGCCACATCTACAGATAAACTCTCTTGCCACATCTACAGATAAACCCTCTTGCCACATCTACAGATAAACTCTCTTGCCACATCTACAGATAAACTCTCTTGCCACATCTACAGATAAACTCTCTTGCCACATCTACAGATAAACCCTCTTGCCACATCTACAGATAAACCCTTTTGCCACATCTACAGATAAACCCTCTTGCCACATCTACAGATAAACTCTCTTGCCACATCTACAGATAAACTCTCTTGCCACATCTACAGATAAACCCTCTTGCCACATCTACAGATAAACTCTCTTGCCACATCTACAGATAAACTCTCTTGCCACATCTACAGATAAACTCTCTTGCCACATCTACAGATAAACCCTCTTGCCACATCTACAGATAAACTCTCTTGCCACATCTACAGATAAACCCTCTTGCCACATCTACAGATAAACTCTCTTGCCACATCTACAGATAAACCCTCTTGCCACATCTACAGATAAACTCTCTTGCCACATCTACAGATAAACCCTCTTGCCACATCTACAGATAAACCCTTTTGCCACATCTACAGATAAACCCTCTTGCCACATCTACAGATAAACTCTCTTGCCACATCTACAGATAAACCCTCTTGCCACATCTACAGATAAACTCTCTTGCCACATCTACAGATAAACTCTCTTGCCACATCTACAGATAAACCCTCTTGCCACATCTACAGATAAACTCTCTTGCCACATCTACAGATAAACCCTCTTGCCACATCTACAGATAAACTCTCTTGCCACATCTACAGATAAACTCTCTTGCCACATCTACAGATAAACTCTCTTGCCACATCTACAGATAAACCCTCTTGCCACATCTACAGAAAGCTAAAGCATTTATTTCTCCCTCTTCTGTGTAAAAGACACAATAAAGGACACAAAAATTACAGGTGTTGAAAGGGTGATGTCACTAATAAAGCCAAAAAAGGCTAATAAAAATTACAAAGTAGTAAAGACAGCCTTTCTAACCGACTCCCTATCCAAAGGACCACAGCCTATGAATTTCCTCCTAAAAAAATTAGCATTCCGAGCCATATTGGTTAAAGGAGTTAAGAGTTATGAGTTAAATTATCTTCACAGCCTCTGAACACATCCATAGGCGCTCAGATTCCCCTCTCAACATATTCATTAGCGTCGTGCAGTTAATAGTACCAGTCCTATGTTGGTAAACAAGAGTTTGTGTGCGTCCAGTGTGCTTCTCATGCTTGGCTGTGCCCATCTTTACTCCCAATTCGCGTATTCTTAGAAGTGATGTGGACATGTTGCTTCCGAAATCCTCAGAACGTCTTATCTTTCTAAGGGCAATGACAATGTCTGCGTGATCCATGGGCCGGCCATCTTCAATTAATGCAGTGCCTGCCTGTCTCATTACCAACAACACCTGCATGCCCTGGGACGAATATGAAAGTAACTGCATACACACGATAATTTTGCAATGTCTCAAGCCACTGTCTGCGTAACCAGCCTGCCAGGACCTGCCGGATCATACTCAAAGAATCACTCATCACACACACGCTGGAATAGTACTGTGATCCCAGCCACATGAAAGCCTGTGTCACCACCATCACCACCATCGTCATGCTGCTGGTGGTCATGGAGAAGGCACCCCTGGCCTCCATAATTGTTCTGCCTGAAGAGCGAGCTGTAAATGCCCATGCACTCTTATGTCCTCGTATAATGGAAGATCACCACGTCTGTCTCATCTGACTTGTCACTGATAAGCGCGCATACCTAAGCATTGACAGCAGCTGGATTCTGCTCCCCACAACTTCTATCGAGCGTCACGACACAGGAGAATGTGAGATTGGGCGCTTCAGACTCTGGTATCCACTCCTCACCTGGATGGATGTCTGTAAGGCTACAAACTTGCATGATGTCATCCTCTGCTCTATCCAGCTATGATTTGACCCTTTTAAGCCTATTGCCCTTTTTCTTGAAGAGCATGTGGTGCAAAGGGTGCTTCAGATCTAAGCTTATTTTGAGGTATGCACGAGCCCTCCAGATCTTGACCCTGTAGTTCATGGTTGGAAAGTCAAGAAGGTACTTCATTGCTACACAAGAGGTGTCTCCAGTGCACCCTAGAATAATGTGCATTGCTTCATTTTGCACGTTCTCAAGTCTTTCAATCTGAGTATGGCTGACAGGGAGGATGGCAAGAGCATATTCAATAGGAGAAAGTACAAGTCCCTGGAACAGAAGCAGAAGCAGTCTCTGCTCAGTGTTAGCGGCAGCCAGGACCCTCATTGCTGACAGGCCTTTGCGTGCCTTTGTTATGACATGGTCAACATGTTCTTTGGAGGATAGGCTGCGATCAAACCTCACTCCAAGGTATGTCATCAGATTTGTTCTCGTCAAAATTTCCTCGCTACTTTCCACTGCTGGTAAGTCTGCCTTCACTATATGTGTGTTCAAGGAGAACCACGTTACTGAGGCCTTCGAAGAGTTAACATGAGCATTAGAATCTGCACACCAGGAGGTGATGCGATTTAGTTCACTCTGCATTGACTTGGCAATCACTAGACGATCTCTTCCATGTCGATATACCAAGAGGTCATCAGCAAATGACAAGGTCCTGCCACTCCCATGCAACTACTGCTCAGTTATCAGCACTGTGTACACGTTGAATAGCACTGGAGACAGCGGAGAACCTTGAGGCAATCCTGGTCTGATGGTTATCCGTTCTGAGGACCAACAACCACACCTGAGTATCACCCGTCTCTGAAACAGTGCTGCGGCTTCCCAGCGGGTGATGAAGGGAGATACTTGCAGCTGGAGGAGTATGTGCACCAAGTATTCAAATGGTATTCTGTTGTAAGAATCCTATAAGTCTAGTGCAGCTGCACATGTCTCTTCTCTCATCTGAAAACCTTCATAGACTTCACAGGCAAAGACTACTGCTGCATTGAGCCATGTCTCTGTGTTTCGTCTGAATTCCCCCAAGTGTGGATGGTAACCTGTCATGCTTTTCCAAGTCATCAGCAAGTCTACATGCTACAATTTTCTCCAGAAGCTTGTCCGTAGTGTTCTGCATGGTAATGATTCTGTAGCCACTAATCTTGGAATGGTCTTTATTTGGTTTTGGTAATGGTAGTAGGTAGCTGTGTAGCCACTCCTCTCTGATTTGACCACTTCTGATGCTGATGTTGAACTCTCCTGCGGGTTCTGACATATCGTCCTATGACATCTACAACATATCAGCATACTGAATGCCGTCAGGGCCTGGTGAGGTGTTGGTAAAGGAGAAGGGTTTGATTGCTGCTGTCGCTAGATCCTATGGAGTTGAGATTTAGATTGGTATTATCATAACACATTTTTTTTTTTTACTGACAATATTTAATATAAAGCTTTAAATGGATAAATAAACAAACAGATAATTGAATGCACAAACTTTATTTTTAAAGGGTTGAAAACTGGGCATGCAAGCCCATGTAACATTCTGCCCTTCTAATCCCCCTCTTGTCATACATCAGTTCATTCATACATATTTAAACAATAGTAAACATTATCAATAGCAACTCTTTGAATACCCCATCATAATCATCAATATCTGCACAGTTTAGATAGAAACAAGAATCTAAACAAAACTTTATGGAGGTAACTTATTTTGAGACTGCAAATCACTTGAAAGCTCAAGGAGAAAGAGCATATAATACGCCAACCATGCTTAAGGCTTTGAGTCATTTAAGAGGTGGGGTTAAGTGAAGAATCAACATTTCCATAAGCTCTTTGTCCCTATCTTTATCAACCGGCGCAGAGTTCCAATTCCAATGGTACTAGCAGTAATACGATTGTGTGTCAGCTTTGACTAGCTAAGAAAGGTGCAACTGAAGAACAACCTGACATAACAGACTATTATCAACAGAAGAAGAGAATAATCAAAGCAAACAGAAAGCCACCAAAACCAGCGAAAAAACGATTACCATATAATGGACAGACCCGAGCAAGTCATCATTCTGTGCCTTAGAATAGGACATAATCGACTTCGCAGCCACATGTACATCAATGGGGGCTGAATCGTCTCGAGGTATGGTGTCCACCTTGAGTGCTGGAGGTCCTGGGTTCAAGCACCGATGAAGGCTGGGATTTTTTCACATGGAGTTCTAGTAATTTCTCCTGGTCTCTGGGCAGTAAGATGAGACCCCCGTGTGTATTGTTGTGCACGTAAAAAATACTTTGGCAGTTGGAAACTGAAAAGAGTAGCCTAACGGCGCTGCCTGGGCAAAATTTTGAGCAAACATCTACCCACAAATATTTTAGGATCTTCGCCATTGCCACAGAGTTTGTGTACTACCCTGAGATTCTTCAGACCAAGGCTTGAGTTAGAAGTAGATCGGAGCACTTGTGGGTTGCACAGGTGTGCCATGATATTGATCCATTGAAAAAACAAAATAAACAAACATAAAATTTAAAATCTGTGAATCAGCGTGTGTACATGTGGATTAGCATCTGAGACAACACATCACGTCCTCCAAAACTGTTCGAAATATAACATATCAAGACAAAACATTTGGGCAAGAGAAACACCGGTACAAGTTGAGTGAATTACAACAGACAGTGAAGTTCATACTAGAGACAAAGGTTTTTGCGTATCCTTTACAGGACCTTGCAGAACCAACCCTAACAGCCCCTGGCTGTTGTGTGGTTTTTCTAGACAAATTTACGTCCAGTAGTTTGCCATTGCTTTCTAGACAGTCCGCTTTCTTGATACCACTGTCGAAATCAATGCAAGGCGCGTGGCTCGCTGCTGGGGTCGAACCCAGCATCCCGGCATTACGAAGCGTTCACATCGACTTAGCCACAGAGCCGACTTATACTAGAGACAGCATTGCAGATATAGATAATCTATTTCAAGCGAACGAAAGAAGAAGACAAACTTTGACTTTTCTCTGAGTGTTTAGTGCTGGTGAGATTTCCTGTTCATTCCTGACTGTAGCATGCTTTTTCCATTAAGAGATTAGTACATAAAGCAAGAAATTGTACTTTCAGCAATAGATCAATGTGTTTCAGTAAACTTTTGTTGTTAAAGAGCTAAATTAAAAGTTTTCCCTAAAGTTGGCATTTTCTAGTTTCCTAAGCCAGCATCTGTAGCTTAGGCGATGTGAACAGGCTTCTTAATATCTGGTTTGATCCCAGCTGCAGACCTTGCACTTGTATTGGTTTTGATAGTGGTATTGAGAGCTGACCGTCTAGAAAGCAATGGCAAACTACTGGACATTAACTTGCCTAGCAAAACCTCAGTAGCAGAGAAATACTGTGGTTGGTTCAGCAGTGTTATGTAAAGGATACACAACTAACTTTCCCTTTAAAAAAAATTATTTTATAATTTGGACATAATTACATTGCCCAGTTTATTGCCTTTGCATATTTTGCCGTATTTAGTCAGGTGTATTACCATGGTTACAAAGTGTTTTTTGTCTGCATTATTTTAATTCACTACTGGAAAACATTATTTTGAAATTAATTTTGCTTTTCCAATTGTTAAATCACAGAACGATCATGTGAATAAAGAAGAGGAGGTTAAGAAAGTACAACTGGCATTGGACAGAGCAAACTTGGAACTGCTAGAGAAGGAGGAGGAACAGTTCCAGGAATATGCCAGGAAGGCAAGTATTTGTGTGTGTGTTATGGGTGCATTTATGTTTATGTATGTACATCAATGTGTGCGCACATTTGTGTTTTGTGTAACTGTCTTTATCTCCCCTTTGTAATAAATGGTGAATGAAAAGTCAGATACTGTAGTCTTGTTCAAGTGGCAGAAATAAATGAACACTAGTTTCATTTGCTAGGTCTGAGTAATATAAATAATTCACTTTTGTAACAAACAGTTTGTGCCAGACTTTATTTTAATAACTTACTCAGAACACACAGTGGATACTTATGATTAGTCCTTTTTATAATTGTATTTACATTTTTTTAGTCCTGATGATTCCAATAATGCAGTATCTAATATTTTAAACAGAACCTGATTTTAGACTTTGGTTTGATAGCTTATAAAAATATTTAAAAACTGGACGTATCATAGATGATTATCTTCTTCTATTTCTCTGGTCTTGTTCTGCCACTCAAGATCAGGTTTTAAAGACACATTTTATGTGAGCCTTGGTATATGCTAGTTAGATGCTGCTATTTATGGTCTTTCTATCCATCGCTTGTGTGATCAATCTCTTAAGGCCTTCTTTGTGTCTAAGTGACAGGGTTCTCTTCGCTGGAATATCTGGTGGAAGTCTTGACCATGTCTGAACAATTTAATCTGTTGTCACTTGGTGTAGTTTAGTCCTTGTTCCCAACTTCTTCCCTGCTACCGTCATTTCTGTTCCTATCTTTTCTAGTTACAGTTAGGATTCACAGTAGACATTTCATTTGTTTTGTTTAGTTTTTCTTATTCCTATCATCATCATCATCATCCTTTTGTTCCCATTATTATGTGTTTGCCTTTTCACATGATCACCAGAGCCTTGGATTAGGTCTGTGTTCTGATCCTACTTATGTCATGTGGTCGATCATCTAGGTTATCATCTATTGTATTTTTTCCCTTCAGTTTGCTATTTCCCCATTTGGTTTGCTACTTGTTGATATGTTTAAAATAACATGACCCAAATCATCTTTGTCTAATCTGCTTATCATAAATGCTGATAAAATATTCAAATTTTAATGATTGTGTTTATTATCAGCTAAAATTATTGTGAAATGAAAAATCATATAGTTTTGAGCAATGAAATAAATTTTGTTGCCCATGTAAATTTATTTTTAGTTTAGTTAATTTGTAAATTTTAATGACAAATTATTTCTAGGTGATTGACCACTGCAAGGAGAAGGGCCGCAATGTTTATCCGCTTGAGCGAGCAGCACAGAAAGGTGTAGGAGGACCTCCTTTTGCTGGGAAATCAGTCAACCGATCAGACTACCTGGTGTCTGACAAATCAGGGAAGCAGCTGCCACACTACGAGGGTGACTCAACCAGTCAAACAAAGCTGCAGATTAATGGCAAGGGAGCTAGCAAGAACAGGCTGGGCTTTATGTGGTAGAGAGGCAGTGCTGATATTAATGATCTTGTTTAGACTATGACAAGCTTATAAAAGTTATTAACCACCGATTGATTATTTTCTTCAGCTGTTTATCTTCTGCTATATCTCATTCAACAGACACCAAGATTTCTTATCTTCTGCTGTATCTCATTCAACAGGCACCAAGATTCCTTATCTTCTGCTGTATCTCATTCAACAGGCACCAAGATTCCTTATCTTCTGCTGTATCTCATTCAACAGGCATCAAGATTCCTTATCTTCTGCTGTATTTCATTCAACAGGCACGAAGATTCCTTATCTTCTGTTGTATCTCATTCAACAGGCATCAAGATTCCTTATCTTCTGCTGTATTTCATTCAACAGGCACCAAGATTCCTTATCTTCTGCTGTATTTCATTCAACAGGCACCAAGATTTCTTATCTTCTGCTGTATTTCATTCAACAGGCACCAATATTCCTTATCTTCTGCTGTATTTCATTCAACAGGCACCAAGATTCCTTATCCTCTTCCCTGTTGTGTGAATTACTTCCTGTGCTTCCCTTTTCATTCTCCTGTCTCTATTCTTTTCTCTTAATGTTTATGGTCTCTCTATATTTTATTGGGAGTTGCCGTGGAGTAGGGGCTAAATGCTCGCCTGCGAATCGGAACGTCTTGGTTTCGCTTCCTGGTGGAGCTGTACTTTATTTTTTTTTCAAATGACCTTGACTCCCATGTTGACCCAGCCTTGAGGTGCAGTCCTGGGAAGTAAAGGTGGCATGATGCTGACCACATCCCCCATCTTGTGCCGTTGGTCTATACAATTTATTTTTAGCTCTATATACCCAATACGCCTGAAAGGCATGGAAATGGGCATAAACAAATAGAATTGGGCTATCCTCCGAATATCTGCACAAAATATGGCGGCCAATGGCGGCAAAAAACAGGGCCTCGATCACGTGTCAATTGCGCACTCCTGGAAACCTAATTTGTGGTTTTTCGGAGACTACCGCCACCGCCGAGAGTATCTCCCACGCCGCTCATGCGGCATGGATTGGGGCTAAACTAGATGGCTGGGACTCACGAGCAAAGCTGCAGGAGATGTGGAAGCTGCTGCTCGTGAGTCCAAGCCATCTAATTTAGCCCTAGTCCACGCCGCATGAACGGCGTAGGGGATACTCTCGGTGGTGGCGGTAGTCACCAGAAAACCGCAAATTAGGTCACCGGAAGTGCGCAATTGACACGTGACTGAGGCTCTGTTAGGATGTTTTTGCGGTCGCCATCTTTTGTGCCTGTTACTTGGAGGATATTGTTGTGTTGTAAAAAAAAAAAAAAAAAAAGGTAATATCTGCCAATTTTCTTTATTCACAAACAGTTAAGAAACCTGAAGTATGGTTGAACTGTACACAGTAATAGTAAAGTTAAATAGAAAATATTAATGTATTAAGCATTTTTAAAAACAAACAATGATAGGAAACAAAACATAACACTTTAAAAACCGTAGATTTAGCACAGATAAATTAATGTAATTTCTAGTTGTTCACAAAAAGGACAGAGCAGTGATGCAGGACACTTTATTTGGGTTGATGAAGAAAATAGTCGATACAGATTGTATAGAAATAAACCAGGACATAAAAAAGTAATATAAGATGCAAACTTTTAAGACTACAATATATGCATATAAGTGAGGGAAGCATAGAAATGCTGACATTGCAATAAAATTTGTGAACTTGGGAATTCCCAAGGGTTAATTAACTACTTTTGTTAGCATATGCTGGGCAAAAATAATAATAGGGATGATGGCTTTTTAAAAAACATGAGTCTTGTAAACAATGTCCCTTGAGTCATGTTTTCTTTCCATACAATTTAGTCAAATTGTCTGCCCAATACACTTGAAGCATTCTTTCATAAAAATTACATCTCTGAGGCTCTAAGAATTTTTTTTTAAATGCATAATTACTAGTCCATGATTAATAGTGATGATGGCTTTTTAAAAATATGATTCTTGTAAAAAAATGTCCTTTTTCCATACATTTAGTCTAGTTGTCTGCCCAATATATTTGAAGCATTCTTTAATTAAAACTACATCTCTGAAGCTTTCGAAATTTTTTTTTTTAAATTGCATACTTACTAACTGTCCATTTTAAAGTCTGCTTTCAGAACCTCCATCCTCGCCACCAGACTGCAGCAGTACAATATTTTATCTGGGCAAGAGTTCTAACATAGCATAGTTTCTTAAATCTTTATTCCACTCACTACTGTCCATGATACAAGCAGTCAATTTATGTTATCAGTGACTGTAATTATTTGATAAACTATATGATTGGTTCCATTAAAAAAATAAAAAAAGAGATTAACATTTCATCTCTGTAGATAACACGATTTTAAATAATTTATTTTAGTGATATTTAATTATGAATTTAAACAATATTTTTAAACCTAAGTTTTTGAGTATTATTATAATTTTTTAAACCAAACTTATACTCAATTAAAAATGTGATCAGAGCTAGCATTAATTTGCTTTTGCTTCAGTTGTTCCCTCTCACATTCTGTATTGACATTAATTACAACTTCAATGTTTTCAGTCTAAATTCGAAGTACAAATATGATAGATATACTAGTTTATTTAATCTGTGCTGTGCGTGTGTGTGTGTGTTGAGCGCGTGTGTGTGTACTTCTGTGAGTGTGTAAAACTCTTTTTTAAATTTAAATAGTTTCTCTTTTTCTCAAACAAAGGAAGAATATCTATCATGATAGATAATCAACAATTGATCAGACAAATGCAGTCAGATTTGTTGGAGTTACCTTCGACACTAAACTTACCAGGAGGAGGAATTTGTAAACATTGTCCCATAAAAAGCCAAAGAGTCAATGTGATGAACAAAATGGCTGGAACATCTTAAAAAGACAATAAATAAATCATAGAGCAAATCTAACCTGGTGCTTTTAGGCCTAATACATACCTCCTAAGCATGTATACTACAGCAGAAAAAAAAAAATCTAACTTGGGAGAATTATAGAAAGATTAAAATACTAGTTTAAGAATAACATTTTGAGAAATGAGAAAAATATTAGTTGTGTATCCTTCACAAGATGTTGCAGAACCAACCCTAAAATTTTGTTGGCTTTTTAGTTTTTACTAGGCAAGTTTATGTTTAGTAGTTTGCCATTGCTTCTGTATGGTAGGCTCTTGATACCACTGTGGAAGTCAATATCTGGAAGAAATACCTGAGCAATGAGAAACACCCTTATAAAACAAATGTAGAAAACTGTTGATCTGGAGCTGTTTAGATTGCACCAAACAGTTGACGAGAGAACCAGAAAAGATTTTTACAATATGATTCAAATCATATTTAGGAGAAACCATCTGATCTCATTGCAGCGATACTAGAAACTGTCGTAGCCAAACATTAAGCTTTTCTGCCAGTTCCAGCTGTCCAGATCTGTTAGGTGCAGTTCTAAAAATTCTGTTCAAGGAATAATATGCTCTCCCCCCCTCCCCCCCCCCCCCCCCCCCCACCCCTCAATAAACCCAACAAAATTATAATACCTGTATGATTAAAACAAAACACGCTGCAGAAGCTGTCGGCTCAGAAAAGCAGTGTTCTATCTTTCCCTCCCAGACCAGCTGCCAGCTGATCTAGTTCAAATCCTCCTAGAAAGCAAACTATTTATGTTTAAAGAGAAGTAGAAAACGGGAAAAGAGGTGTGGGGAGTGTTGCCCTCTTAGCTGCACATATTCTGTGAGATTTGGCTAGACAAGAGAAAGTACAGTCATCCTGATTTTCCCCCCCTTAGCAGAGGAATATTATGCAAATGAATAATCTATAAAAAGTATATGATGCCATTGTTGACGTGCCCTATCAAAGTGAACGCAGTTGTACTGCCTTTCTGGAAGCCTAATGAAAACAGCTGCCAATTTAATTAGTATATTTAGGTGCAGAATAAGGTGATGAAATCTGATGCAATAGAGATATAATTATAAAATCCCACGTGAGAACGCACATAGTAAACATGTTGAGAGGTACTATAAACTTCTAGAAGAGTAGAAAACACAATCCTCGCATTCCAACACCTCATTATAAATAATGGAAAGAAATCACTTGGGTAAGCCTTCGGTCATCAAGACTTGGAAGAGGAGGGACTAGTAACATGTACCCTCAAAGAAATCCTTCAGTCTAGGAGACTTAGATGAGGAGCGACTAGTCTCAAGGACCCTCGCAGTTGTGGAGATGCCAGCTCAACACTAGAAGCAAAGGAACCAGTCACATGGAGCCTCGAAGACAGACATTAGAGAAGAGACATGAAACGAAACAACGAACTACAGAGATAACATGGATCCATCGTTAACATAGACACATTAGACAGAAACACTAATGAGATGTTAGAGTCGACGATTCAGCCGTTAGTACCAGACAGCAATAGAAGCCAGGTGGCAGTTACAGACACTAGAACCAGTTAACAAAGTAACTAGAAATAAAGAACATAACGCGACCTTAAAAGTATGTAACCAAAGAGTTAAAGCAGTGGCCATTCAGAATATCGTTGATGTTGTTTGTGACATTTCTGAGGTATCACAAAAAAGACAGTACATAAAAGAACAGTTGTTTCCAGATATTTTAAAGCATCAGAGTCACGTCTATTCTCTTTAAATCGCTTCCTCTTGTAGCAAACCTAAAGACGAACAGGGTGTGACATTAACGTACGCAAAGAAGACAACTGTGTTTCAAGTCGTACACACAAATATAGCAGTTGTGGAAGTATTGCTTGTTTCAAGTCGTACACACAAATAGAGCAGTTGTGCAAGTATTGCTTGTTTCAAGTCGTACACACAAATAGAGCAGTTGTGCAAGTATTGCTTGTTTCAGTCACACAAATAAAGCAGCATTGTTGTTGCAAGTATTAGAGCAGTTGTTTGTTGCAGTCGTACACACAAATAGAGCTTGTTGTCGCAACAAATAGAGCAGTTGTTTCAGTATTGCGTACACACAAATAGAGCAGTTGTGCAAGCATTGCTTGTTGC